ATGGCACACCTTCTACTAAGAGTTGCTTCATTGACTTAATCTACGACAAAGGCCCTATGTCCCGAGGATTTTGACTGAAATTTGGCCATTTTCGCCCAAATCTAAGTAAATAGCAGTTTCTCCCACAGCTGTATTTCGAAATAAATATTGCTACAATGTAGCAATTTAAAAACCACACATGCTTACTGTTTCTGTTGACCTGACACGTGTATCTAGCCTGTAAAAATGAAAAATTGCTACATTGTAGCAATTTCAGTGAGATATGGGCCCTCAAAATCATGTAATTTTAGCAAAAATGAAGAAATAACCTGCAATTTTGACAGAATTTCGGAGGGCTCTCTTTCATTCATGACCCTGCACGGGCCTACGCAGAACGAAAAAATCGATTCTGTTCTCAAATTCTGCTGAGATATTGGTCTCTGGCCAACTAGCAGACAATTTTAGGCCTCATATTAAATGCAGCCTTATTCTTTTGTTGTGTTAGCTTTATCCATAACCACCTATCCAACCCAGTAATGCTTAAAACGATACTTCAGACTCTGCGATCAACACGGTTATGAATTTTGAACATATCTATTGGATCGCATAAGGATGTGTTTGTTAATCAATAGTATCCATAACTAATGCTCTTTTAGCCATTAATAACAACTATGAATTTTTAGTTAAGGTTTAATTCAAATTGAGGTGCACATTTGGGGCATGTTTTGTAAGGAGCTGTAGTTTTTGACTCAATTAATAGATTATTATCAAACTTTCACAACAAAATTTACATTGAATGAACTAAATAATTCTAAAATTTCAAGGCAAAATATGCAAAATTGACCGAGTTATTCAACTTTCTTACGGTCCTGTTTTTTTGGACACCCTGTAGCATAATAATTCATAAAAATCTGTATTTTTCCTTGGGCTCGCAGTTAGTTATCATTGGTGAGATGCTTTTAATGTTATATCTTGCATGTGATCAGGGTGGTGATACTCAATCTAATAAACAAAAACAACCACTGGTATGAGTGTGGACAATCTTTTGAAGCAATGATGAAATGTGTGGACAAAGCCCGGCAAAATGAAGGTCGTGGAGGGAAGGTATGTTTATATTTCATATTTGAACAGTTTGTAGTGCCGATGGCTTGGTAAAATGTTTTGATGGTATGTCAATGAACACCTTTAGCTCCAGTGAAAGCCCAAAAATGGTCAACTTATAAGTGTAGTTATTATGAAATTGAAAGTTAAATGCGATTTTACAAAAAAATTAAAATAATGTTCAGTATTTTCGGGGATTCCTCTTCCTTTTTATGGTGTTTTATGCATAGAGAACTCCTAGGAACGTCCTATGAGGTACCTGTAATAACCCATCGCTTATATTCCCAAATTTGTGTTACTGTTGGAATTTGTGAGTGATTTTTCGATATTTTTCGTGTATGGACAATGTTGTGATGTAAACATGTGCTAGTGCATCCATATATAAATCATATACATCTCAGCAGCAGTGATTCTACGAACCTCACGACCAGTGGTAGTATTTTGACATACAATTAGGATACAAATTTTGATTTGAATTTTCTGAATAAGTATTAAGAATATTTGTCTTAACCCTTTAGATTTTTAGTCAAAGGAGTTTATCACATACCGACCGATGTGGCGTCAACAATGTCCTTAGAACCAATGAGTTTTCTTTCATGGAAAAATAATAAGATATGATTAGAGGTAGGTTGATTATCGTGAATATATTCAACGGTTGAATACTACATGACTCCAAAAAGTACATAACAATAACAACATTTTAGATGAACAGTTCCTATTCAAAATGTTTTTTTGGGGAAATTGTCTAGAGCTTTTTTGGTAAAATATCAAAATCTAGTCGTGAGTTTTACTAAATACAAGCTAAGAACATATCATGATTGCCATTTTAAACATCTTTAATCGACAATTCAATGGATAGCCACGTGGACAGCAAATAAACATGGGTTGAAAATGTTCAAAATCAGTAGATTGCTATTCATACGTTCTTACATAAAGTAACAAGATTCGATTGTCAACAATGTAATTTTGTATTACTACAAAATTTTAAACATTTTAAACCGCAACATATACCCACTAGGGTGTCTAGCGGCTTGTTTTTATAGTGTATATTATATAAGAATTATGAAATAAATAGAATTGAATTGAAAACATTGTCCACACAAATAACAAGTAGATTAGATGGACTAAAAATGTTTGAAGGGATATAAAGTAATAATTTCAAATGTTAGTGATGTATGATGATAAGCTTTACACATCATACTAATATTAAACTAAAAATAATGTGAAATAATCCTACTTGTAGTGAAAACAATCTGAATATTCAAAAACTAACATGGTTTTGCAACTTCAACTTACAAGATTACAATTAATAGGTTTATGCACATTTTTTGTTCTTACCAAGTGTTTACTCTAATTTGGTTGTGCTTATAGCGAATTTACTTGCTTAGTGCGTTAGAAATATACCAAGAATATTGTTTTAATTAGCGAGGTATCAATACGATACCATTTTGCCGGTATTGTCCACACATTTCATCATTGCTTCAAAAAATTGTCCACACTCATACCAGGGGTGAGAAAGAAAGAAGGTGTGTACATTTTTATGAATGAAAATCAAACTGGTCTGTGGTAAGAGAACAAAGGGGGATCATTCAACTGTTACAAATGGACAGCTAACCATCTAAAATGTGGTGTAAACCACAAAAAGTTTTTGATTTTTTCTGATGTACTGGGAACGTGATTGGTGTATCTGTAGGTAAGAAAACAATTGAACGCGAACACAAACTACGAAATAAAGTGACATCTTCCTGTTTAACGGTGTTATAGCATGACGGTTACGTCAAGGCGATTTTGAAAATTTTGCGGTAACGATAACAAAAAATGGCGGATGGGAGTGACAGCATGTCCTTTTTCTCGCCTGTAGGCAAGATTCACAGATAAAATTTCATTTTCAACTAGTTCCATTCTAGTTCCATTCGGTGACGCACAGGGTGTCCAATAAAAGAATTGTGAAAGATATTGTAACTTTCTTAATTTTGAACCAATCTTGATGACATTTTCAGAGTTTGTAGCCCAACCCTTTTTACCTTTATTCTGTGAATTTAAAGCGTCTTCTATTTGATTGGCCGGAATTATGGTTGCTATAGCAACCGAACAACAAAAAGGCGGGGCAAGTTTGTTTACGTCACAATTTTCCAAACATATTTATATTTTCTGATAGCTTTATTCATACTCCCGAGTCTATTACTACCACAAATACAATATAAAAACAGTCCTAAAGTCCCATTGTTATGAAATTAGTTATTTAACATAATGTCCATCTCTAGCTATATGCACTTCTTATGCCTATTCACCCACTCTCTAAACACACTTTCAAACCAATTCTTGCCCATTTCCTGAAGTCTTGCTTAGACATGTGATCTGAGTTCACACACAGCTATGCTCACTAGTGAAACTATTAGGGCACTGGGGCTACCACTACTTGCACACCCTCCATATTCCCCAGACCTTGCACCCAATGACTTTTACTTATATGCAGAAATCAAGCGTGAATTGAGAGGAAATAAATTCGGAAGCACTTATGATCTCAGATTAATAATCACCCATAATTAATATGGCATGAAATACATCTGGAAAGACTTTAGGCGGCCAAAAATTCAATAGCTTGAAAATCTTTGAAATTACGCTAAAAGTTCAATGTTCAAGCAAAAACCTGTATTTTATTGACATTGGCGTATTTTTGAAAAAGCCTATTAAAATCATAAAATTAGGAAAAAATATGAAAATTTCAATAAGAATGGTTTTTCTCTTGGAAATATAGAGTAAAAACACGACTGCATCATTCAACCTGTCCGGGGTATGATGGCAACCATTAGAAGTCCATGTGACATTTAATATAACAAAAAAGAAGAATATACTAATTTCACGCACTGCTGTTTTATTATTTGTTTGACGAAAATAATTAATAAAGTGTGTCCGATTGATTAGGATAATGTCACAAAGGCTTACACATAATAAGCGTTCCATTGCTTTGTACAGACACACTCATGACTTTGATTGCAAATCTAAGTGCGTATGTTACATCACATAGCAAACAATTGCAAACACAGAGTTCGATGTCTCGGAATTCTTGAGATTAATCAACACAACAAAGTATTTGTTACTAAGGAAACTGTTTAAAAGGATCGATATCCTTTAAAGTCCTCATATAAAGTTTAAACCACTCTTGCTGATATTGTAGTCTTACCCAATGTTATCAAAGTGTGATATGTGAAACTTTTTTTTTAATTTCAAAAGGTGGTTTTTGAAGGACTTTTTTGTTCTGGATTTATTTAAAACTAACTTTTAGTGGTCACATGTATCTTTTAGTAAGCCACTTCATACCAATATTCATCCTCGCATGATTTTTGCCGAAAAATTAAGAAAATCGGTTAATAAATAAGCGAGAAATGAACTTATCGATGCATGAAAATTTTTCAGAGAAAAATGCATTTCTCAATTTTAGATCTCATAGACACCAATGGTATAATACCTAAAACATAATATATTCTTCCTTTTAACCTGGTTAGACAATCAACATTGGTTTATTATTGAAGTTTAGCATATTTAGAAAAGATTGACATAGAAAAAATTGAAAAAAATTTCAAAAAGTTTTTGCCACCTGATGAGTGAGTCATTATGACATCACATCAATGTTGCAAAATATTTTTGATATGCTAAAACATTGAAGTGGCAATGGTATTTTATTATTAAAATAGTGCCCTGTGTTAAATTTCTGTTCATTGGTGTTAAAAAGATAATCTTTTTTGAAATGTTTGAAGAAATATTTGATGAATAAAAAATTTCAACTTTTTGAAATTTGAGTATTTGGAAAATGAAATGCCTTTTTTTCAAAAAATTTCCTTTTTCAAAAATCTCTAAAATAACTTTTTAAGTCATGACAAATAGTAAATGAATGATAAAAATATTTTCAAACTTTACATGGGGACTTTAAGGAGTGACGTAAAAATTGACGATAAACATGAAAGACTAATATTTGGGAAAATTAGACAGCTGAATTAGAAGCATATTTTGAGTCTCATCATGATCGATAAAACGATGAAATGCGATAGAGCTAAGATTCCTGTATCTGATAAGTTTTGATTTTAGCTGAAATTCTCAAAAATAATCATACTGTATATACAATAAGTAGTCATATCAGCATCAATCAGTCATCATGGTCATTCGACCTAGGTTTTCCTCATTTAGATTCCAAAGATTAGTCCATGAAGTAAAAGGAGCGCAAGTACGTTCGCACAATTTGCTTGTACGTGATATTGACGACTCTCCACATTCTTGGTCGTTACTTCAATCTCTCTTTCCCCTTCTGCTTCAAGCTGTTCCATAATCTCGTATGTCATATTGACATCCACCTTATCGTAAAATTCTCCAAGTTGAGTAGTCAGTACCTCCAATTGCTTCGATAAGTCCTTTTCTAAAGAAGTAGCAAGAATGTCAACTGGAGCAGTGACGTTAAATGTAAATTCGACTATGTATCGAGTCGGCGTCCATCTAGTATTCCCTACTTGGATGTAGCCAATAGGGCTATAGACAGTGTTGATAGCATCTTTAGTAACCGCGCTGATCACTAGTTTAGTCTTGTGGAAAACTTTCTCGATTCTCGAATTAGTGTGGTTAATGTCAAATCGTAGCTTCACTTGGGCAACGATGTGGTTCAATATTGAACATTTAGACGTACGTTTAGTGTGGCGTATTGGACAGCCCTTTGCCTCACATTGATGTTGATTTGCAGTACAATGAAATTCAAGATTGTCCAAACCATATATTCCATTCGCTTTGATTTTCAGTCCATATAAATTGAAGAATTTCATATCTACGATTAAGGCAAAACTAAAATACTTATACGGGACATGCCTAGCATCATCAGAACTTATGGAACATTTAATTGCTGTATCGGATATTGAATTTGGACCGAGAGCGCACTGCAAACAATAAATATTGTAGAACTGTACCCCGTAGTAGGAAAACATTGACCAAGATTTGAAGTATCTGACGGGATTTTGACCGGCTGTTGCACACTTTTCTGATATGTTTGTGTTCTGGCAGTTATTCATGCAATCGTAATGTAGCTTGATACAGGGTCGAGAAATCGTTGGTGCAGTTAGTTGAAGTGTACATGCAGGGTTATGGAGTAAATCAACTATAAGATCGATACCGGCATTAATGAACTTTTCAGGATTGATTTCTTCAGATTCGCAACTAATTGAGACATTCCAGGGGTCATAGGCAGTCACTCCGTGACATAATGCACAAAACTTGTTCCTGTAGTTCTCTCCAGTTTGTAAATCAACAACTGGTATGAGATTAAGAAGCCCATGGCGATCCTGACATTGTAAATTTAGTTCTGAATCTCTTTGGTCGTATGGGCATTTGGCGATTTTGTAAACCGATCTGCTATAATAGACACCATCAGATGACGATGTGCACTCATAGATTTCATTGTCACTTTTTCTTAGATCGTTAATCCCATTTGGATCACATATGGTGGTATAGTCCGAACAACAGTCTCCATATTTAGAACACTTTGGGTCACATTGACAAAAAGCTTCTCTGGAGATGTTCCCGCATCGTCCCTCACATGATCGCTTTGGCCGTTGCTCGGGATGAACTCCAACACAACTGGTTACATTTTTCTCACAGGTCAGATTAGAATCGTCTCTTGTTATATTGAGACCATTTGTCGTGGTCTGATCAAGGTGTGTTTGATCAATGCCAGTATGTATTGAACCATTGGTCTGAAAACCATCACCTTCTCTCGTTACTTCTTCCGAATTCTGCAGAAAATCGCCAGTTGACTCACGAGCTGCATACGTCATATGTTCAGTGGATGTTTCTCCATTATCAAATCCAGAAGCCCTATCGGTAACCTGTAGTTCGGTGCCAGCTGTCAAAGTTCCTCGTTTGATAATCTTCGAAAACCTGATAGGATTACTGGTTGATTCACCATTGGTCGACAAGTCTCTGTTAGAATCACTTGTGGGTCGGTTAGATTTCCAAACGGCATCCTGAGTCGACAAATTTTGAGTTGTTCGAGTGTCTGCAGAATCTTCGGTGGTGTGTCTTCCATTGACAATGTGTTTGTTTTCATTGATTGGGGTTGAAAGTCCTCTGTAAGCCAAGCTTATAAAGAGAGCAATCCAAAACTTATGCCTTTTCACTTCCAAAGACGGCTTCCTCATATTTGTGTCAACCAAGCGTTTGTTACTGACAATCATCCAATTTAATATGTTCTACTCCTAATGAACGGACAAAAGATCATCTAGTCGGCTAAAGCTCATTTGTAGAATATATGCCTCGTTTTGGATTTTAGAAAGAGCTTCATTTGCCGACTGTAGCACAAACTGATTTCCATAATATTATTAAAATATAAAATATTAGAATTCTTTCATTCAACCGAAACGGTTCGTTTCGGTAACAAAATGTCTGGAACCTCGAATATACGATTTTTCTTTTTTCCTAGTTTCACGCGTTGTAGGCAGAATTCCCACGACCTCTCCCTAGATCGAGCGGACCCCGAAAAAATTGGGGCCAACAATAAACGTTGGTCCCAAAATCTGCTCATCTCCATATAAACTGGGCAATTTATATAACAAACTGGCATTGTGTCTTCTCAACTCCTTAATGAAGTAGGTAGTAAATTAAATCAATTTCATATTAAAAAAACAGTCGGATCATTCAAATAAGCTACGTACAGTTCAATGTATAAAATGACTGGGGTAAAAAGGTAATGGGAGCAATTCATACAAATTCTTACAAATGATAGAAAATGAAAATTGACCCTATTAGATTTAGCAAAAAGTAAGTACATTGTCCAGTCTATTGCTTCCTTAAAATATGCACTAACTACAAGTTCATGGGGAACCATCGATATGTGGAACATTTTGGTTTTCTATTGAATTTTCCGCTTAAAATGGCTATTGTACTAATTAGTACAGTAATAGCACAATTCTACAGTTTCAGCTCAGATGATGTTCTAATTTGATATTGGAGAGGTGGCCACAAAGGCTTGTAACAAGACCAAATCTTGGTATTAATGCAAATAGGTACAATTTTAGATTAACAATCTTATTTGGTATAATATTGCCAGTTTGTATGAATGGCGAGACGTCTTGTAAATTAATTATCCAGAAATTAATCAATTAACTTTTAATCTACAGCACTCATATAACACAATTGTGCACGTATGCCTATTATATTATGCTATTTTTATCGTCATTTAGCGACTTATATCATTATAATGTCTCTCTCATTGATTCATATACTTGTATAGTATTTCGTCAATTTATAAGGCTATAAAATCAAGTATCTATATAATCTATAAAAAGGTATTTTTTCAGTTGGAAGAAATTATTTGACGAATATTGACCTTAGTTATACCATGATAAAGAGTGATTCATCACTTGTCAATGCCTGATAATAGATCGTATTATGGTATAAATACAGAATATAGCCTGTCATGTGTATTCTCGAACTACATTTCATGATCATTGACCATGTTCTGACTAGAAAACAATAGCTCCACCGAACAAAGCATGTTATCAAATATCTTGTCATTTTGGAAATTACAGTACATTAATGAAAAAATGAGGAAAAGGTAAAGTAGTAGTGTCTCCTTTTTGATAGAATCTACACCCAATTCATGCTGTGACATAGTACCATATATTAAATTATTTTTTGACCAAAGGTTTCATGACAATAAAGCTTTGTATTTTGGACCAGATCTGGTATGATATTTGTGTTATTAGAATAATCATAAAGTTCCTGAGAAATGGCAACCATTTTGAATTCAGCATTTCTTCTTGACCAGAGTCCTATGCCAATTAAGATTTGCACATAAAACCTGAACCAAAACTGTTTTTGAGTCATATTGGGAATTTCTTCATTCCTTTGCCCCTATTTTACATTAAATCCTATGACTAGTATTTGAAAATGACATTTTTCATGAAAATGGCAGCCATTTTTGCCCCCTACGACTATCCGATTGTCATTTGGAAGGTGCCCCCAGCAGAGGTGATCAATCCTCCATCTGTATCTGACAGACGGTTGTCCCAGATAGTATTTACCTCCACTAAAGATACTGGTAGCATTAGAAAGTTGAATCAGAATTCTGTTCTGTTCTACATGCAGGAGATCCATAGCATCAGGGTTATCGGCTATGTGGGGTTAGTACTGGCCGAGTCCCTCTACGACTAACATAAGGCATAAGCCTTTAAAATTTGAACCAAATCCGGCAGCAGGTATTTGAGTTATGAGTCCCTAAACTGCTCCAAAAATTGAAGTGTTGTTGTCCCTTACTCCGCCACAAAATGAATACCGTATACCGTTTCAAAGTACTGAATTCCCTTATTAAGAAAATATATTTCGTTTTGATTGTAGCAGGTGCTTTTTCCTCTAACATGGGGTCACACAAGGTTGCCTCCTAGAAACAACTTCTTGTATATATTGTTTTAATTTTTACCACATAACTGCATTTCAAGTATGATATCGATTGCTTTTCATAAAAATTGAGTACTCTTGATTAACAAGAGAATATAGAATTTGCAAAATGTCAAAAAGGTTCCAACAGGATGCAAACGTCTGCCGGAAAAATGTAACATAACCCAGTGTAAAGATGTATAGGAACACTATTCAGTCATTGGTTTTTGTGGTGGACACCCGGACAACAAACTCCGACCTTTTCTAGAGCTCTTAGAAAAATCAGACCAGGGATTACATGTATATTCCCCGGACAAGCGAACGAACAAATGAACGGACCATGCCTTGATTAACAACATGCAATACCTTTTAACTTTTGAGGTGACTACTCACCACAATCAACCTCACTGCTAGCATATCAAACCAGTCCTATTTTCCATCAAGCTTGGCCCAACTACCATCTGGTGGATATCTTTCAAAATTCAAGTTGTCATGGTTACCAAAGCCTTATAGTTACCATGACAACCGTGAAAATGGGGTTAAAATGAGAGCAAAAGCACCCAAACCTACCGTAAATGGCACTATTTTTTTTAGATATTTCTAGACATACAAACATTAATCTAGAACATTTCTAACAAAAATGTCAAAATGGGTGTGCTTTTCCACTTCCACTTTTCTAGGTGTGGTCAAAGTAAAACTACGAAAAGCACTCATTTTCACTTTAGAATCATACATATCGCCCAAATGGCTATATTTTGTCAAGGTCAAGGTCGCCATGTGAAAGTAGAAAAACGGAGCTAAATCTGCTCTTCAGAAGCCACTTTCGCACTACTTTTGGTGTAATAATTCCAGATAAAATGCACAGTTTTATGACATCATATGTGACGTCATGCTTATATCTAGTCCGCCGCCATATTTAAATTATTTTGGAAAGCAATCTGCATAAACATGCCGAAATCTAAGAAACGAGCAAGTAAGGAACTAGTATTTTGTAAACTTAACGAAGATAGAAACAGTGGTTTCCTTTGTGATGTCGAAATATTAGCAGACAGTAAATCATACAATGCCCACAAGGTAGTTCTGGCAACTCATAGTCAATATTTTCGCACAATATTCAGTAGCGATTCTTTTGAGGAGTGTCGGAACAATGTAATTAGTCTTAATGGACTAAATAGCAAGGCATTTAACATTGCTCTTGAGTACATATATGGCAGGGACGTTGACTTTGATTTTGATGTCATATTTGATGTCTTGGATATTGCTGAATATCTATGCATTCCCGCACTGAAGGACAAATGCGATGGCTTTCTCCGACGACAGCTAAGTGCGGTTGTAGAATCGGTTACAGAAATTAAATGCAGTGTTTTTGAACTTCTCTGTGCAGCTGATGCGTATAAACTAGTCAAGTTGAAAGAAACGACACGTATTAATATCCTGAGAGACTTTACAAACATTTACAGAATTCCTGAACAAAACTTTGCCCAGATAAGCTACGAAGTTCTATTATCCATTATAAGTTCAAGTCAATTGAAGGGGATGGAAAGTGATATTTTGGACGCCGTTTTGTACTGGCTTGTACACAACAGTGATAGCATAGATCTTGAAAATATCACCTTACTCCTTGAAGAAATACGTTTCCCACTCATGTCTGGGACCGAGCTTGCTAGCACCATCTCTTTGTTGAGAAAATTTTTCATTGACCAACCAAAGTTGAATGCAATAGCACTTGGCTATGTTGACGAAGCAGTGATGTATCAGCTTAAGAAAGAAAGTCAGTCGTTCCTTCAATCAGCAAGAACAATTCCAAGATATTCCAATAAAGAAGATATCGTGTATTGCATTTCTTCGTTTGTACCCAGTGAGCAGAAGATGAAGGACGAAGGAGTGCCATGCTTCATATGCTATGTCAACGACCATGATAGATGGTACACGTTAGCTCCCCCGCCCATACCAACCGGATATAACTCAATGTGTCTAATGAATCAAAGCTCGTGTGTTGTGATATGTGGAATCCTATTCTGTGTGTTTTGTCCTTTAACCCAAGGCCCTATCGTTGCTGAACAAGGAAAACCGGCTCTCTTGGTTAAGTACGAGTTAGATACCAACTCCTGGATGAGGTGTGCAGACATTCCATCAAACTCTGATGATATCTATCTGGCTGAGAAAAATGGAAACATAATAGCGATGTGTATGACGATCGACCCTGGGCATTCAGATGATGGCTTTTATGAGTACGAGGCAGAGAACGACCAATGGTGTATTCTATGGAATGTACCTCTTTTACCAAACGTAACTGATTTGTCCCAACAGCCGTGCGATGTTGGGTTCACGTGTGTCGGCGATAGTTTGTACGTCTTGGGCGGACAGGGGCCAGGGAATCTTATGAAACTATTTCAAATATTTAATCTGGTCTCTGAAGATTCCTGGTGGCAAAACAAGGCACCAATGCTTGCGCGATACCGACGTTCAAGACAAAGCGAAGCCCCGAGAAAAGAATGGAGACTCCAAACCCGAGATGACAACATACTTGTTCTCAACGCAGAGAACAAGGATAATCTCGCAATAAACATCTACAGAACAAAAAAGGACTTCTGGACCACCCTTATTCTGGAGGGTAATCCGAACAATGATGAAGATATCATCAACGAAAGCCCCCCAAAGTTTATAGGCAACGACAAGCAGCTTAAAATGGTGTACATAGCTAACATGGATACTGTGTATTTCACACAAGGAGAGGCGACAGAGAACTGTGGTGTGCGACTAACCTACAGCTATGATCTCACAAAGAATGTATGCAAATCCAGAAATCTCCGGTCACTTTCTTTATCAGGAGAGCTGTCAACACATCTGATAAGAAGTGTTCTTAGCAGCTCTAGTGAAACTTGATGCTATGTTGGTCTAATACAAGATGCAGCCTACTTGTAAATAAAATACGTTATCCATGTACGTAATATATGGTTCAACAAAAAACAGCAACTAAAAACAACTAAATATGAGAAACTTATGTGGTATATGCCATGTTTATGTGTCTGATCATATAATCTTCAAATTATCCATCAATTTCTTAAGAAATTGGCGAAATTAAGGAAACCAGAAAACACATTTAATGAAAGGGCGGTGTTTATAGGCTGTATGAAATGCCCCTGCATTAACGCTCACATATATGAGTTTTAAACAATAATTTAGTAGACTAAAGTGTTGATACGAAATCTCAGTAATAGTACCAGTTAGGAGATAAGGTGATGTCCGATTTAACATTACGATTGCTGGATATGGAAGCGACTTGCTCCAATGCCGATGTTGTATCATGGGATCTCGCAGCACGAATACATCTTAGTTTAGGAACTGTCAGAAATGCAAAGGACAGATACATTTCGCATCGACTTGGCTACACGTCACATTTACAACATAGATCAAGATTTTTATGTTGTCATTCATGATCAGTTTTTACTGTTGGTTCTCGTAGAATTTGGGTAGCCCTTTGTGGCTCAAATCGATACAAAGAAACGCAATGTTAAAGTTTTATCTGTTTATCCTGTAAGATCAGATTTATAAGGCGTTCCTTGTTTATATTGGTTACATGGTTGGGATCCTTCTTCTTGTGAAAGTTTAATTCTATTGTGCAACTGATCATAAAACCTAGAAATTGTGAAATGAAAAAAATCTATTTCAGATTGATTCATGTCGTTATTAACGAGTTATTAGACGTATAGCCTAGAAGGGGTGCTGCGAAATACTTGAGAATAGTATTCAACTATTCCATTTTCAAAAGCAAAAAAAGAAATATTCCTTCATATCATATGGTCTATTGATAGATGTCACTCTAATCAAAGAGTTATCGCTATTTTATAACCAGATTTTGGATATAAATCCATGATATATACGTATATGTGTTAAAATTGCGTTTAATAGATGTCAGGTATTCAGTATAACTTACAACTTTTTCAGGTATGACTCTGGTACAGCTGGCAAATAATTTGGAAATGTGTAATTAATTTATAAATAGTTATATCACAACTGTAAATAAAGATGTATTTCATATCTGTCTTCATTCCTTGTCATTTCTATTTTATGAGAATCAGAAAACGTTAATTCACTCATATCTTGTAGCCTAGACTTTGGATTCGGACTCTCGTTCAAAGTCTGGAAACAAGACATACGTTGTCTAAATCATCCTACAATTCATTGACGGTCTCGGGCTTAAATCCTTTAATCGATAACTGCTACTCTCGCCTCCATTAGTTTTGAAACAAAGTCCCTCATGTTTGGATTCAAGTCTGTTTTAAAGCCAAAGCTGAAAAACCAACAATTTCTTAAATCATTTCTAAATCTCAACATGCGAGGTATGTTGACGAGTTCAGAAATAAAGACCGAAGAACAGGTATTATATCGATGAATAAATACAGCAGGGCTAGGCACTAACGTTTTTTGTACGACCGAAGGGAGTGAGGGATTCGAAAGCCTTTGTTTGGCAACCCTATCTCCCTCATTGGACTACGTGTTAGAGCCTTTTCATGTTTGAATTTTCATTTACAAATGTTATTTAACTAGCGATGAAATACTTATGATAAAAGAGAATACCAGTACTAGTAAATTGTAACTTGACTTCATTTCCGTTTACTTTTAATTTTCTCAATTACAATAGGTCGAAAATTGATGACAAATTTGATGAATTTTTGAAAATTGTCATTCCAATGTAAACCAATGGGAAATGGTGGGTTCTAGGCAAATCAGATTTCTGGATATCTATTCATTAAATGCTTCACTAAAAATATTTTTATATAGAAGATTGAATTGTCTAACTTTTTGGTCCGCTAAGTGTGAAGTTACTTTGTGAACATTAAAGTTACAGAGCTTCAAAGTCATTTTTGAAAATCATTTTTCGCCTGTGTTATTTCAGTGGGAGAGGTTTTTTGAAAAGTAATTTTGACTTCGGAGAGATATAAATTTTTTGAACGTGAAGAAACATATCATTTTTTGTTTAAGAAAGTTAATTTTTTACCTAACTTGTATTTTTGCGAGAATTCAGATAGATGGATACTCTGTCATATCGACTTGCGACTGCAGCGACAAACCCATCAGTTCCCATTGGTTTAACATGGGAGTGTCGATTTTTGAAACTTCATCAGATTTGTCATCAATATCCGACCTATTGTGATTGTTGAAAAAATTGGAGGTATTCAAAATGATGTCAATTAATATTTCAAGCCCTAAAACTAGACTTTTCTTTACAGATTATGGAAATAAGAATTCAAACATAAATAGGCTTTAGCATGTAATCCAATGGGGGAGTTAGGGTTGCCAAACTTATGGAGGGGAGTGTAGACCTCAGAGCAGGTACCATATCGAGTAATAAATACCTTAGGACTAGGCACAAAAGCTTTCGAATCCCTCACTCCCTTAGGTCGTTCATTCGGGGTACAGAAAACGTTTGTGCCTAGCCCTGCGGCATGTATTCGTCGATATAATACCTGCTCTTCGGTCTATGTTTCTTAATTTTAACACACTTCAAAAGCCTACTTTTTATAAGTCAAAGTAAATTAAATCAATGGGGAATGATGGACTGTAAATCAAAGAGTATTCACCCAGGAATGTGTCTTTTTGTACAGTTGTACACTATACTTGTATAGATGTCAGGTATGTACATTCAATATGAATATAGATAATTAGACACAAATACTCCGGGGTTCCTGTAGACCTTCAATTTAAATATATCATGACGACGCTCCACCGGGATAAAATACTACATTAGACCCACCATGTATTTTGCAAAGTGACAGATGTTACCATCAACCTAAGTGTTTCCATATTGCAGTTCGCCCAAATATTGAGCCTCCAGGAATTAAACAGATAGTTTCGGCCTAAATTGATTCTTGAAATCATCGTTTAATGTAATTTCTTGAAGGATTTATCGGAAATGAATGTTATATGTTGAAAGTGAAGTGGATAAAAGGTTTACATCCTAAAGGCAATGCCAGCTTTGGATAGTATCAGATAGCAATGGTGGTAAAACAGGGTGGTAGGTATAAGCCCTAGAACCTGAGGTTGTACAATAGACAGCAGCTCGCGCGCCATGAGGACATAACTTTAGCTAACGTTGGCTACACCCATATATGGCAGAAGAGAACCCGATTATAATTTCTCCAGTAATACATTTATCTAGCCTTGTCGAAGTCGGTATTATCTTTTATTTATCTTGATTTTTATCTTGAAAATGAAATTAAAAAAAATAAAAAGACACCGACTTGGGCAGGGCTACCATTTCTCCTAACAAAAGATTTGGTATGTATCGTTTACAAAAATGGCATATTAACTGATATGCTTACTCACACACAAATAATATTCCCAGCCTCGAACAGAAATTGATAAAATTTAAAATTTTAGAAGGCCTATATTTAGTCTTAAACACCAAGACTTAGTCAGATTTTTCCTTATAAATGCAAATTGGAACGTCAAAAGCAATCACACTTCATCCCCACGATTTAGTTCCGACGTTTACATTAGCATCTACTGCCTATGGTTGTTTGAATTTTATGCAATGCAAAACAACATTAAAAAGAGAAGAATATTTATTTGAAAATACTCTTTATCTAAAACATCTAATGTAATACTACCCTTCTGACACACCCAGTCCATGGGGGCATACGTTCCACCGGGCGTTCCACATGGAAACATCAATGCAAATCACCGCCCCAAAGAAAAAACCTCTCATTTATTCAAATACGCCCTCAAACATGTCTTTAACAATAATCTCCGAATTTCTAATACACAAATGTGACCAAAGATAATATTTGTCTCAGATTTGCCCTAATTGAACGGATCATAGGTTTCTTTAGGCGTGCCATATATTTGTGTGATTATAGATTAAACCCTTCGTAATTTAGTTAGGGTACGAGAAATATCAGTCTTCACACACTTCGGAGTGAAGAATATCTCCCTGTTACCAATACTATGCCTAAAACAAGCATTTTGACACTACCACTCCGTCTAACATCATGCCCCAATCAAATTAGATAAATATCATTTTTCATGAAGTCACATTTTATCAATTTTCTATTCAACTGTATTATGCAAAAGAACAAATGGATTTAATTAAGTTGATCTATCAGCAAATTGATTCAAGAAACTGGTATTTGCTCGGCTCCAAAATATGATGTTATACAAATCTTTCTCATCTTTCGACAAACAATATACTATCTGATAGAAAAGACTTTCCCTGTCAACACATAGTCACAAATCTCATAAAAGATAAAATTGTTGATATGGCAAAAGAAAATTTTAATACTTAATACTCAAATGGCAGATTTTAGATATTTGTAACGTCAATTGCACTGATAATAACCTAAATCCCCTAAAATAGAATAGACCCCATCTGAACCAAGTTTGGACATATTTAGTTACACAATTTGTGTAGCGTCTGTTTGTATAATTTTCATTTTCCGTAAGAATATTTTCCTCGAATGCGCGCCAAAATAGTTAATTCTAAATTACTAAGGTGTTTGAATAAGGTATAAAGTACACTGGGAAACTGGAAACGTGTTTTGTCAGTTTAGCATTTTCTTTTTCTTTTAAGATTATTCATTAGGTCCGGAATAAAATGTATAATTGTAATGTCCAAAATGGAATTTACATAACTATGGTGCCAAGGGTTTGTATGAGTCTGTATGAACATTTCTGTTGAATTGGAACTAGTGACTTTTGTAAACCACCATTCTTTTAAATTATATAATGTTTGCCCTACTGTATTTAGTATAAATACTTTAAGGTATGTACTGAGAAATTCATTAAGACATTGACTTTTGTGCAAAAGTACATAGTACAAATAAACGATGTGCTTTAGATGATCTTGACACGGAAATGATGTACTTATTGTGTACCAAGACAAACCGGATA